CTTTTTATGACCCCATAATCCCTTGTGGGGTAGAGTCCAGGCAATTGAATGGAGCAGAGAGTGTTTACTGGCCAGATGCCCTTCCTGTCAACAATGTGGAATTTTATTCAGCAGATAAACTCTCATTGTGCCCAGAGAAAGAAATATCTGTCTCTACCTAGGATCAAACTCAGCCTCCTGTTTGTGAGGCAAGAGCTCCACCTCTAGGCCACTGCACCAGTCTATATCAACATTTGTATCATGGAGCAAAAATAGAACCTGTTTCAGAGAAAGTGACCAGTGATTTCATCCAGTTGCATGCTGAAAGGAAGTAGCATAGCTGCCAATTCTCTTAGTTAAAAATATTAGGAAAAAAAATCATAATTTTAGGATGGATTACATCATTTTAAAGAGTCACAGTTTCATTTCCCCCCCTCACTTCCAAACCACATTTCCAGGATGCTTCTGCAGTGTCTTTGTGATCATACATGTTGTTGGGGACTTTTTACATAACATCAAGTAGCCACAAAACCAAAAGCTGAAGAGGGCCTTGAAGTTGTTTTATTGGCATTCTGATCACAACATATTTTATCTCGCATAAGACAAAAATTACATGCAAGCAAAACTATCTTATTAGTGATGAACATCATTTTGTTGAATTGGATCTTGATGAGGCAAAACTATCACGATCTTGTTATTTTCTTTGGGAATTATACAATGACACAACCATGTGTGTTATTTTCTTCCTTTTTATGCATTTTCCATTCATTGGAAGGTTGTCTAACTGGCTTCTAGTCTACACTTTTACATTGTTTCAGTGAGGTCGACTATGGGCTGATATTACAACATTTTCTTTTGATTGGCAATGTAATAGAATAGAATAGAATAGAATTCTTTATATAATAGAATAGAATTGTTTATTGACCAAGTGTGATTGGACACACAAGGAATTTGTCTTGGTGCAAATTTTCTCAGTGTACATAAAAGAAAAGATACATTCATCAAGAATCATAAGGTACAACACTTAATAATAGTCATAGGGTACAATAAGCAATCAAATCATACTAGGAAACAGTCGATATAAATCATAAGGATACAAGCGACAAAGTTACAGTCATACAGTCACAAGTGGGAGGGGATGGGCGATAAGGAGCAATGAGAAGATTTATAGTAATATTAGTGCAGACTTTGTAAATAGTTGGACAGGGTTGAGGGAATTTGTTTAGTAGAGTGATGGCGTTTGGGAAAAAACTGTTCTTGTGTCTAGTTGTTCTGATGTGCAATGCTCTATAGCGTCGTTTTGAGGGAAGGAGTTGAAACAGTTTATGTCCGGGATGTGAGGGGTCTATAAATATTTTCACAGGCTTCTTTTTGATTCGTGCAGTATACAGGTCTTCGACAAAGGCAGGTTGGTAATAATTGTTTTTTCTGTCCTAATTATCCTCTGAAGTCTGTGTCTGTCTTGTTGGGATGCAGAACCAAACCAGACAGCTATAGAGGTGCAGATGCAGAGGTGGTATTCAGTGGGTTCTGCCCAGTTCTGGAAAACCGGTAGCAGAAATTTTGAGTAATTCGGAGAACCGGCAAATCCCACCTCTGACTGGAGATTTTACAGTATCCTTCCCCTGCCACACCCACCAAGCCATGCCCACAGAACCGGTGGTAAATTTTTTTGAATCCCACCACTGTGCAGATGACAGACTTAATAATTCCTCTGTAGAACTGTATCAGTAGCTCCTTGGGAAGTTTTAGCTTTCTGAAATGAACATTCTTCACTGTGCTTTTTTGATGACGTTTTTGATCTTAGGTGTCCATTTTAGGTCTTGTGATATGATAGAACCTAGAAATTTGAAGGTCTCTACTTTTGATACTGTGTTGTCTAGTATTGTCAGAGGTGGTAGTATGGGAGGGTTTCTTCTAAAGTCTACCACCATTTCTATGTTCCAAGATAACACTGACGATGGTTGCCTTGGTGAAATGTTCTCTCTAATAAACAACCTTGTGGGATTCTTCTTTAGATCAAGGCTTTTGGATTGGGAAAAATGCTTGTAATTCCAAGAGGAGTAGTTCCAGATTTTCAAATCAAACATTGTTTGCATGATGAAGACCCAGGGTATCTAATGAACTTTCATGGTCAGACCTAAAATATTCTTTTAGCTTTATTCACTTTGCGCTTCCATTAGCAAGGACTTTGCCATTGAAGTACTAAATTTATTTTTAATATTCAGTGATGAAAATGAAACCAAATGGTGTGGTGGCCTAGACATGGAACTCTCACTTCACAATTAGGAGGCTGTGAGCTCAATCCCAGGTAGCAGCACATATTTCTCTCTTTGGTGCAAAGAAAAAATGTCTGCTGCGAACTCCATGTAGGTGTTAGGAAGAGCATACGGCCAGTAAATGCTCAGCTCCATTCAGTTGCCCTGATTCCAACCCTGATGCAAGGGATTGCAGGGTCATTAAAAGAAAAAAACCCAATGAAAATGAAACCAAAGGATGTGTATGTTTCCTTTTCTGTGACATTTTCCAAATAAATACAGCCCTGCAAAAACAAAAATGAACCAAGTACCACAAACTTTTTAAAAAAATGATGATTCCCATTAGACTCAGTGGTGTTTATTTCTGAACAGGACTGGATTATTAATTTCTAAAAGACATTAATTACTGTGTTTGAAAAAAAAAATGCACAAATTGCCACATAAAAATAAAAGCCCAGCTTTGTTTGCAGTTAAATGAATTCAGAAAGTTAGTCATCTTATGAATGACTGATTTGGATACCCCTGTGTATTTCCCCCCCCCCCCATTCTATCAGTCTACATTTCCAGCTGTTCAATGTAGCAGTTAAAAAAATGGATTAACCCATGGTCAAGTACTGAATTTGTAAATTGCATCACTCTGCTGGTTAACAAGAAAAGACACGGGGGGATAGAAAAGATCAGATGTACAGTATGCATGCAAACTTTTAGATTGCAGACAAAATCACAGCCAGTCTGGTTGGTTTGACAATTCTTGAAATATTTGGCAGTGCTCTTGAAAAACAGTTATTCATTACTGGAAGTTAAATGAAGAGGGAAACAACATATTATAGATGTGATTGCTTGACTCTGCTGTTGAGGAGTAGGATGATTAAAGTGCAGGACAAAAGATCTCATTTTTGTTGAGAAGATTCATTTTTCATCTTCTCTATCATTTTATTTATACTGTTTGCCTTAAGGCTTTGGATTTAGAACAAGAAATGTGTATTTTGATAGAGTTTATATTTAAAAATGAAGAGGTTGCAAAGATTGTTCAAGTACAATATTAATAAGGTTGCCCAAAGGTTTCAAGATATTTTAATTAGCAAGACCTTGCAGGGCTTGGATTGATCATTACTGTTATTGTTACTTACAGTGATAATTGCCAGAAATCCATTTCCATCATTCTCTTTTCCTCTTCTTATCCTTTGAACTAGAGTATTTGAAATGTGCGCTTCCTTCAGATGTTAACATTAGTTGTTCCTTTTGAGGGAGATGGAACAAGCCTTCTCAGAAATTTGGATCAAAGCGTATTCTGTTCTGAAAGAGATCAGTCTCCTCATCTATATCAGCTGTATCTGTGAATTTGTACCTGATGAGAAGGGGAAAAAAATCACTTCCTGTATTTGAAAAGAGGCAACAAGCCTGTTGTATTACTTATTGTCTCTCCCTCCATCCTTATAATCTGCTTCAATCAAAGTCAACACTGAGCTATGTTCAATACTCAGAATTGTTTCATTTTCTTAACAACGCAATTAGTTCTGTCAAATAAAATATTGGATACATTTTTGGAAAATATAAGTGGGATACTAGTATAACCTCCAAGTTTCAAATTTAGAACCTTTTTAAAAAAAGTTTAGAATTCAAAATTAAAATAATAGTGTGTATGTGTGTAAGCATGCATATCTATATGTATATATGCAATCCTAAAAGGGAACCTTAGAAGTAGAAAGGAATGTGATAAAACCCTTACATATATGCTGGAATATGGTAAATAATGATTCTGATGTTACTTCTTGGAAATTTACAGCTGTGTTTAATGCACAAAACGTCATACACCATTGTTTCCAAAGCATGAGCAGCATTGCAAGCAACCTGTCAATACTTGTTCACAGCAGTTCTTCCAACAGAGCTGATTCATTCTAATTTGGAATTATATTATCAAGACTGAAGGTTGGAGTGAGTTGTTGATGAAAAAATCAATATCTTGCATCAGAAAACCTACTTTTCTCTTAAAGGTGTCTGCTAATAAGAATTGGCTTGTACCATATAAGATGACTTTGTTTAAATCAAATTTAAATTATCTTGATAATGATAAATACTGAAAAGCTGCCTCAAAGATCCTTGAAATCAAGTATTGCTCCTCGATTTTTGGGTGGAGGTTTGCATGTGTGTGTATAACTACTAATAGATCAGCAGTTCCCAATCTTTCTGGTTTGGCAGCCTGGCTCAGGGAAGAAAGAGGATGATTCGCACGAGCAGTAGGGGTGTGCAGCTTCATTTGTCACTCACATATGCATGTGTGCATGCATGTGTGCAGCTCCATTTGCCACTCACACAAATGGAACTTCATATGTGAGTGTGAGTGTCTGCCACTCGCACATGTGGAGATGCATGTATGTTCATGCCCACTAGTGTTGTGGGTTTGGGGCCCACTGGGATAGATTATAAGGATGGAAATTTTCAGTGCTCTTTCCTTATACCATTGTATTTAAAACAAATTGTTTTGCAGCCAAAGCAAATGTAGACTTAGAACTTAGAATAACTTTATTGTCACTTTGAATGTACACTAATCGGCATGCATTAAAATGAAATTTCATTGCATACAGCTCTCAAAGGGTCACCACCTCCAATATACACTACATAAACATGACAAAATAAATAAATAAATACAAAATTATGCATATACCCACATATATTACACAGAGAAACAACATAATCTAGCTCGGATATATATACATGTACACGTAGAAATTTCATACAATACTATTTTTAAAAACTATGCTATAAACAGAGGCTGTTAGCTATTGCTGAGGCAGAAACAATGGGAAAATGTACTAAAATACAAAAATGGAAAAATTTTAAGATGCATGTTATTCCTGGTGAACAGCAGTGCTGATTGCAAGTTTTAATGATGGGGTTTGAATGCACAAACATACAGAAAGAAGAGCAGGATCTGAACATTTATATTTCTGCTTAGATTCCTCCCTCCCTATGTCCTGTAAATATGGCTGGATTTACAGATTTAAGGTACTTTAAAGTTTAGTGAATCTGACCATTTAAAATGATAAATTATGGTTTATGGCTCACCAAAGTATGTTATTAAGGGTGGTATTTGTTTAAATAATCTAAATAATCCAATTCTGTTAATATTTGTCAACAGACATTACCGGATCACATTGCAGTATCAGATATTCCAAAACTGTTGATATCTTCTGCATCAATCCTCAAGGTATAACTCTTACAGGCAGAATGTGTTTAATTAGTTATTTTTATGCATTAAGAAGACAGCAAAGGACTATATAATTATGCACCTATTGTGGACCAAATTTAAAAAAAAAATGAATTGGTGGCTCTAAATGTATTGGAGTTTCATGTCCTCTCCCATCTGTTGAAAGAAAAACTACAACTAACCACTCTCCTTAATGTGGAATGCAATGGGGATGGGCAAGTATAGGCAGGTGCTTAGAATGAAGGATTTAGCCATCTGTGGAGTTGCCTAGCAGTGCAACATGGAAGGATGTGTAGGATGAATGAGTTCTAATTATCTTGCTCAGCACAGCCCATCTTCCATATTCATGTCCTACTAGATAGGCTAGATCTGAATCAGGTCTAGCTTTCTTCTGAAAGCGCACTATATCCATGTTCACAAATGGCCTGGTAAACAGTTGCAAGGGGATAGATATGGAATAAAGTGAGAAGATAATGAATGAGCTCTACAATCATGTATTGCTGTGAGTGAATGATAAAGTTGGCAAAGTAACCAATGACTCTAGTTCTGAGCTTCTGATTGGCAACACCCAGGATTCCCAAAGCTCCAATAGAATACACAAAATGGCAGTTCTTCTAAGAAATAAAAACAATAAATTTATGGTCTTGTGGAACATCTCAAGAGAAAAAGCAGAAAATATGTAACATACCTAATAATGAAAATATAACAACCAATTTAATGACCAATTAAAATGCAATAGTGACAGTACTACTCATATAGAGCAATACACAGAAATTAAAGCACACAAAATCTTATTCATGGATGATTGTATTGATTCCTTTGTCAACAATAAGTGGGGCTATAGATATCAAACATTAAAAAAACCTCATATGCCAGGCTATCCAGCACCTTTACATGGATGATCTGAAGTTGTATGGAAAAACACCATTTCAAACAAAATTGTTTCTCAACCACTATCTGTATATACAATCAAGATATTGCCATGGAGATTGGATTGGACAAATGTGCCACCATCACTGTCAACAGGGGAAAACTCGTGAAAAAGAATCAATATGCCCTATGGCAATAATATGAAGAATCAGATGAAAAAGTCACTACAAATACCTGAGCATCTTTCATGCTGACAACAACAGATAACAGATAATCAGAGTTGGAAGGGACCTTATAGGTCATCTAGTCCAACCCTCCACCCAAGCAGGAGACCCTACACCATTTCTGACAAATGGAAGTCCAATCTCTTCTTGAAAGTCTCAAGTGAAGGCGCTCCCACAACTTCCGAGGGCAAGCTGTTCCATTGGTTGATTGTTCTCACTGTCAGAAAGTTTCTCCTTATTTCCAGGTTAAATCTCTCCTTGTTCACTTTCCATCCATCATTCCTTGTCTGGCCTACAGCTGCTTTAGAAAATAGTTTGACCCCTTCCTCTGTGTTGCAGCCCCTCAAATATTGGAAGATTGCTATTATGTCTCCCCTGGTCCTTCTCTTCACTAGACTAGCCATATCCAGTTCCTGTTCTTTATATGTTTTAGTCTCCAGTCTCTTAATCCTGGTTGCTCTTCTCTGTATTTTTTCTAGATTCTCAACATCTTTGTTTATAATGTGACCAAAACTGGATGCAATACTCTAGGTGTGGTCTTACTAAAGTTTTATAGAGTTGTATTAGTACATCACTTGATCTCGATTGAATACCTCTGTTAATGCAATTTAGGATTGCATTAGCTTTTTTGGCTGCTGCTGCACACTGCTGACTCATATTTAGCTGGTTGTCCACTAAGACTCCAAGATCCCTCTCACAGTTACTACTGTTGAGCCTGGTTTCACCCAGTCTATATGTGTACTTTTGGTTTTTCTTGTCTAAGTGTAGTTCTTTACTTTTCTCTACATTTAATTTCATTTTGTGAGATACGGCCCAGTGTTCTAGTCTGTCAAGATCCATCTGGATCTTGAGCCTATCTTCTTGGGTGTTCGCTATTCCTGCCAGCTTAGTATCATCTGCAAATTTGGTAAGTTCCCCTTCTATTCCCTCATCTAAGTCATTAATGAAGATATTGGTTCTTCCCAAGACAGAACCTTGTGGCACCCCACTGCTTACTTCCCTCAATGTAGACTTAGACCCATTAAGGACTACTCATTGAGTCCAGTTCATCAGCCAGTTGCAAGTCCATTTAGTGGTGGTGCCATCTATTCCACTTTTTTCTAGCTTACTAAGAAGTAGATTGTGGTCTACTTTGTCAAATGCCTTACTGAAATCTAAATATATTATGTTCACAGTATTTCGTTAGTCTACTAATTTAGTCGCTATGTTGAAGAATGAAATAAGATTGGTTTGGCATGATCTGTTTTTAACAAACCTGTGCTGACTGTTAGTTATTACTTTACTTGTTTCTAGATGTTGGCAGATCTGGGTTTTTTTATTATCTTTTCCAGTATCTTCCCAGGAACTGATGTAAGGCTGATTGGTCTATAGTTTCCTGGGTCTGTTTTTTTCCCCCTTTTTGAAGATGGGAACAACATTAGCTCTTTTCTAGTCCTCTGGTAGTTCCCCGGTGCTCCAGGATTTTTGAAAGATACAGTGCAGCGGTTTTGAGATGACCTCTGTGAGCTCCTTTAAAACTCTGGGATGTAATCCATCAGGCCCCGGTGATTTGTGTTCATCAAGATCAGACAGGTGTTCTTTTATTATTATTATTTTTCTTATTTTAACTTTTATTTCTGGTCTGTCTTTTACAGTTATGTTTTTGGTGGGTTGAGCAAAGAATGAGTTAAGCAGTTCTGCTTTCTCTCTGTTGCCTGCTACTTCCTTGCCATCTTCTCTCTTTAGTGACCGACTGTTTCCTTGATTTTTTTCTTGTTATTTATATATTGGAAGAAACTTTTTTTTTTATTATCTTTGACTTTTGTTGCAAGGAAGAACGTGAAAGTGGAGAAGATTCAAATACAAGAAGTCAGGAAGAACAACTCTCTGAAGAGAAAAAACTTGCACCACAGTCAGAATCTCAGAAACTTAGAGAAATAGAAGAGGACAACAGACCAAGTACAAGAGAACCCAGAACATGGAAAAAAAAAATGCTCTACACAGACAGTAACACAAATAGATAAATCACCTTATTTTCAGTTAATATCAATGGTTTAAACTCAACATTAAAAAGAAAACAGTCATTTGAAAAACTTAAAAAACAAAATGCAGACATAATTTGTATACAAGAAGTACACATCATAGATAAACAGGCAGACCTCCTAAAGGATACCAAATTGGGAAAAATGTATTGGGCTCTTTCAAATAAAAGAAAAAGGGGTATCGTAGTATATATAAAAGATTGGTATACAAGGATGATGAAGGGAAAATGTTATTTATAGAAATAATATTAAACCAGAAAAAGATTTTGTTAGTTACAGTATATGCCCTGAATGTAAATCAAAAAGAATTCTATAATAAACTCCACCACAAGATAGTAGAAACTGAACATACAAGTGTATGTATGGTAGGAGATTTAAATGCTATTTCAGAGAAGGACAGAGACTATAAAATCTCCAAAGAAATAAAATAAATAAAATAAAAGGAGACTATTCCCATCTTCTTTTAATAATATGGTGAGGGAATTAAATTTGAAGGATGTGTGGAGAGAACTATATCCAACTAAAAAGCAATATACTTTCTTTTCTAATCCCCATCACTCTTGGTCTAGTATAGATCAGATATGGATGGACCCAGGCTTAATGGAAATATCAAAAATATAGAGATCTTGCCAAATGTATGGGCTGATCATAACCCTATTCAAATTAAGTGGAAAGGAAAGAGAATGATTGGAAGATGGACATTTAATAATAGTACACTAAAAGATAACGAATATATTGAAATGGTGAAAAAAGAATTGAAAATATTTCTTGAAATAAATAAGAGAGAACATACGTCCCTTCAAAACTTCTGGGATACAATAAAAGCTTATGTGAGAGGTTTAACTATTGGCTATAGTATTAAAAAGAATAAAGAAAAAAGGCAACAACAAAATGTGTGGAGAGAGAAACTTAAAGATTTAGAAGTAAATAGACAAATTGATCTGAATAATCAAAATATTACTAAAGAAATAGATTTGGTAAAACATAAGATAAACTTAAGTATGCAGGAAGACCTGGCCTGAAAAGTTAAATAAGTAAAACAAAATTATTTTGAAAATGCAAATAAGCCAGGGAGATGGTTAGCCCATAAAATAAAAAAGAACAAGGAAAAAGAACAATTGTAGCTCTCCAAGACCAAGAAGGAAAAATATGTACTCAGGCTAAGGAAAAGAAAGATATTGCCAAGGACTTTTTTACAAATCTATACAATCAAGAAGAGGTACCAGAAGAACTTATTCATCAATATCTGAAGGAAAAAAATTTACCGGAAATTATGGACGAAGAGAAATGTATTTTAAATAATAAAATATCGATAGAAGAAATTAGAAACGCAATTGGAGCCCAAAAACCAAATAAAACCCCGGGCCCAGATGGAATTCCGTCTGAATTCTATAAGGTGTTTCAAGAGTTATTGGAGGAGTTAATGACAGACTTATATAATGAAGCCTTGGATAGTGCTAATATACCAAAGTCATGGACTGAAGCGTATATAACCCTTATTCACAAAGAGCAATCAGATCCACAAAAAATTTAAAATTACAGGCCAATATCACTTTTAAACGTAGATTACAAGATTTTGGCCAAAATATTGGTGGAAAGATTAAAGAAAATATTAAGTAGGATTATTCATACTGACCAGAATGGGTTTCTGCCATATAGACAAATGAAGACAAATACAAGAATAATTATGGAGTTTTAGAATTCTGTGAAGTACATACAACTAAAACAATGGCACTGATGTTTTTAGATGCTCAGAAAGCTTTTGACAATTTGAATTTGAATTTTCTTATTAAACAATTGACAGGCATGCAATTTGCCAATTTTTTTTAGGATTCATTAAAACAATATATAACACTCAAACTGCAAAAATATTAATAAATGGGGAAAATACAGATAATATAAGGATAAATGAGGGTGTAATACAAGGATACCCCTTGGCTCCCCTACTTTATATATTAGTAGAAGAGACACTACTGGTACAAATCCAACAAAATCAAGAGATCAGGGGGTTAAAAGTTAAAAAAGAGGAGTACAAACTTCAAGCATTTGTTGACGATATGGTATTTATAGTGGAAATGACATCCATTTTGATGAATGAAATAGAACAATATGGAAAGGTGGCAGGGTTAAAAATTAATGAAGAAAAAACAAAAATTATAACAAAAAACTGTACAAATGAACAAAAGGAAGAACTAACAAAGAGATTAGGGATACAGGTGGTAAATAAAGTAAAATATTTGGGGATATGGCTGAAAGCTAGGTGCTCATCAATTAAAAAAGATAATTTCAATAAATTAACAATTCAAATATTTAAAGACTTAGATAATTGGGCTAAATTACAAATATCGCTATTAGGCCGTATTGCAATAGTAAAAATGAATATTTTGCCAAAATTGTTGTTCTTATTTCAGACGATGCCAGTCAAGCTGAAAAAAAGCCTTTTCAGAGAACTAAATAAACTTATATCCAAATTTATATGGCAAGGGGAAAAAACCCAGAATAAAATATAAATTATTACAGGACGATAGAAAAAAAAAAGTCTTGCAGATTGGTCTTGCAGATTTCAAAACATATTACTATGCTGCAATAGCAACCTGGCTCAAAGACTGGGTTAATTTGATAAATAAAAAGATCTTAACATAAGAGGGCTTTGATCTCCAACTTGGATGGCACGCATTTATGTGGGATGGAAAGAGTAAACAGTACTTGTACTTTCAAAGGGGTGTGTTATTAACTATTTGGGAAAAGATTAAAAAAAAATACTTTACTGTAAGGTCCCACTGTGGTTATCTACAATGGAGGCAGTTACACATCCAAACGTTTTAGATTTTGATAATATTGCAAGATATAAAGATCTATTACATGAAACTGGAAAGTTAAAGGGTAGGAATTAAATACAAATTCAAGGAAAAGAGATAGCATGGTGGCCATATGCACAGATACAAACGCATTACAAAAAAGATAAAGAACAATTTGATTTTAATATGACTTACCAAGAATTAGATAAGATTTGGCATGGAGAGGAAAGGAAATTGATTAGTAAAATATATAAATATCTATTGGATTATAAATTAAAAGAAGAAACAGTCAAGGAATGTATGATAATTTGGGCAAAAAATGTGGGCCACAGTATTGAATTAGACAAGTGGGAACATATTTGGAAAATAAATTACAAACTAACTATGTCAGCCTTGTACAAAGAGAATCTCTATAAAATGGTGTATCGTTGGCACTTGCCACCTGTGAGATTGGCTAAGATGTTCCCGAACCTCCCCCCAAACTGTTGGAAGTGTAACTGCATCCAGGGAGCATACTTTCATATGTGGTGGACATGCCCATATGCCCAGAAGTTTTGAAAAAATATCAAAAATTGGATTCTAAATATAACTAAACAAGATGTAAAACTTGAACCCAAAACCTTTTTGCTGGGTATGATAGACTCAAAAATAGAAAAAAAAAATCAATATTTAATCTTGCACGTTATAATGGCAGCCAGCATAAGCTATGCTCAAAATTGGAAACTATTGTCCCTTCAGAGGAGATGGTCATTAAAAAAATTCACGAGTGTGCAGACATGGACAGCCTAACCAAATTACTAAAAAAACAACAAAGATAGTGAATACTACAAAGTTTGGAACTGTTGGTATGAATGGTTAAAGAAAAAGCAACATTTGACAACTGAATAAGTTATGAAACTGTGAAGGACGTGTGTTTAATCATAAAGTATTATGTGAAAATAAAACATTAAAATAACGAGGAAGGTATTGTAACAAAGTAGATCATGTCAATGTTATGGGGTAAAAGAAAAAAAGAAAAGAAAAGTGTAACCAATGCTCAATACCTGCTGCAAAATGTATATATATATATATTTGTTTATATGTTTGTTTGTTTCTTTTTAAATGTTTTAAATATATGAAACTTAAATAAATTTTCTTTTAATTAAAAAAAAATTAAGTTGAAACCCAATGGAGAAAATACCACCAAGACACCCTACATTACATCCTACATTAACTATACAGTTGGAATTAGTAGACTGGACTCAAACACAGTAAAAGCCCTGGGTAGGAAAACCATAAAACATAATGAAATGAATGATGCCCTTCATCCATACAGTGATGTTTACAGAGTCTATTTATCAAGGAACATAGATATGTATGGAATGTTGCAAGTACACCAGACTGTTGAAGAAGGAAAATGGACATTGGAAGAATATCTGAAGGACAGCGATAATATTGAAGTTGGTACAGCATAAAGGTTTACTGAACACTGGAGAGACCAGACTGGCCTACAAGAAAGATAAAATGAAGAATAGAAAAAAAAAGACATGATAAGGGAAAGTATTACACAGCCAGAAGATACACACACACACACACACACACACACAGAGAGAGAGAGAGAGAGACAGAGACAGAGACAGAGACAGAGACAGAGACAGAGACAGAGACAGAGAGAGAAAGCAGGCCAAGCAACAAAACCTGGCAATGGTTAACAGTAGGAAAGTTGAAGAAAGAGATAAAGGAGCTAAATCTGATTGCAGAAGACAATACCCAAGAACAAATGCCAGAACTGACACAGCAACAGACAGCAAATGCTACTTCTTGCAAGACGCTGAAGAAACAATGGGCGAACCGGTTAGCTGCTTCAAAAAGATTGCACGGATTGATTCAAACAACAGCATGACAAAATAGCAACAATGGTGCATTAGAATATCTGCAAGAAATACAGTTCGCCAGCAAACAACAACTCTGTGAGGGAAATGGGCAGTTTAAAAATGTGATCAATAAATAAATTAAATATATTAAGTAATGTAAATGGAAGAAGCTCACATGCTCTGGAATTCAAAAAGACAAGCACTTGCCACATAGATTCTAGACCTAACAATTGTTGATAAGAAAGACAAAATGTACATATTGTAAGATGTATAATAGAAGAAAAAGATAGCACTAATAGTAATAGGTGAAATACCAAACAAATGGAGCACTACTTAAACACCATTGGCATTGACAAATTCACCATCAGTCAACTGCAAAAGGCAGCTTTAATTGGAACTTTACATCATACAATAGTATCATTAATAGAATCAAATAACATCTGTCTTTCCCAAGTTTTGGGGGAAAGACTTGACAATTGGGCAAAAATGCCAAATCCAGATTTAAACATCAGGTTGACTATGCAGCCAGCAATAATAATAATAATGATGATGATGATGATGATGATGATGATGATGATGGTGGTGGTGATGATAAACACATTTGCTTAATGCAATTATGAGTTTATCAGCATAAACCCTGTTCTTATAAAGTAGACCATGGTAAGTGCCAAGATTACCATCAAAATCCTCACAGTGGCTGATTGGATTAATGTAGTTTTTGTCCTGCTAATGGACTTCCCATTGGTAGAAATGTGAAGAAGCTCTTTATTCGGAGTTGGATGTGAAGAGCTATTGATCCCAGCTGGATTGGTTCTCATGTTTGCTTGTTTCTATTGCTATTTTCATGTTTCTGCTTTTTGCTGCTTGCTATAAATTATTTTGATGTAATGTCAATATAGTTGGAGCTTGGCACACTTTGAGTTGAGAACTTCAATTCCTAAGAAAAAGTGGCTAATTTCTTTCTGAGCTTCTCTCCCACTGGCACCTTTCAAGGGGCAAATGTGACTTTGCTGCTTTATATAACAACAAAAAAAAGCGAAAATAAAAAGCATAGAACTCCAAACCAACATAAGTCAATACATTTTACCATTCTAAACTGAGAAGGGGAAAGAGAGCTCAGAAATCCTGCAGGAGCATATATCATTTCAGACATATTAAAGTATGTTTCATATCTACATTGCAGAAAAATATGGCTCTGTTTTGACATCTCGAAAAGTACAAAATATAACTTAGTCACTGACCTTTTCCTTTTCTTTCCTTTTATAAATTTTAATAACATATTTTTTTATTCCATACTTTGTCAGTGCAAAAATATTTATTGGAACTTTTAACTGTCAGCTAGGCATGAAATGTTCCTGATATCAGAGATAAAGAAGCTTTCTTTAAAAGGAACAAATGCATTTAACTGCTGTGCTCATGCAATGAAAGGGGATGAGGTAGATGGATTCTTGCATCAGGTAATTTACACATTGGGCACAGAGTGTACCACAGGATGCTGTCAGATTCAGTTTTATTTCACTTTGGAAAATGTTCAATATTTAGTAAGATGAAAGTTTGTGCTTACTGCCTGAATTACTAAGTGCTGTTTTGCTTATGAGAGGCTGCTGTGAAATCTATGGGGCTCATTGTTGCCATTAAAGTATTATTTGCTAAACAAGATGTGCTTCTTCCATCCACCCAAATTTAGTGAAAATGTGGATATTTCCCGTGCATATTTCATGCTTTTTGAAAAAAAAAACATGTATGACAATGTCTAATAACAACTTTGTCCTTCTCCTCCTCCTTCTTGTCCTTTTACTTCTTCTCCTCTTCCTTCCTTGAGTCATGATTTCAAACAATACTTTATTATAGGATTAAAAGGATATAAAGCTGTCAAATTACCAGCTTTGAATATGTGGTTAATTTATGCAGGGATTTCTATAAAGGTAGGGGAAAATTTTGTTTCCTGCCCATTACTTAAAATAATAGGACACTTTGGGATAAATGCAATTGAAAAAAATTATTGGTCATAATGAATTTATATTCTAGATAGTACATAATCAATCAAATATAGTTCTTCTTTCAAACTGAGGATTAGTTTCAATATACTTTGGGGTAAATGAGCATAATTGCATTTATTATAATATATTAGCTGAATCAAATTATAAAATAAAATAAGCAGCTTTTATTAAACTAAATGGTGACATTGATTTCATAAAATAATCTTGAATAAGGGAGTACAGTTTCTATTTAGTTTAAGCATGTTAATTTGGAAGCAAAAACTGTATCCAGTAAAAAGAAACTTCTTACATATTAAAGGAGTGTGCCTACAAAATGATGAACTACTCCTTTGAACCCCGTTGCCAAACTAGGCTTCTTGCAAACAGAAGCTTTGCACTTTGACCAAGTTTTGGGTACCTCAACATGATGGAACATAATGGATGGTTTATTAGCACTGCTTGTAATTTATCATATAAATTTGCAGCCCACACACTACTTTGGTAAAAGCATATCCTAATCTGTATTTCCTAGGATAATATAATGGCAAAATAAAATAGAAAAATAAACAGTCACTGTTTGGAAATAATACACAGTTGAGGAAGATTAAATATTACATTCCCATTCACTGGCTCTTTCTAAGGTATAGAAACTAGTGCCGTGCAAAAGGGTGACCTCCTGTTATTTGCCCCACCTCTGCCCTCTAGAATTAGACACAAGACAGAGGAAACTTTTATTTTTACCTCGTCTCCCTCCCTCCCTCCCTCTCCATCTTTCTCATAGAGGGAGGGAGGGAGGGAGAGAGAGAGAAAGAGAGAGAAGGTAAAGAAACATCTTACTGCCTCAATGGCTTTGAAATGAGGATGAGCACCACTCCCTACAATTAGCAATGACTAGTGGAGTAAAATCTGCAGGGACTTTACCTTCTCTCTCTCTCTACAAACATACATACATACATACATACATACATACATACCTCATTTATTGACTGCCACATTTAGTGACCATTTGCAGGTCTATAAAACAAAGGAAAGCAGAAATAATATCATACCTTCCTAGTTGATTTAGAGGCTGTTTCACTTAATGACCAAGTTACTAGTCCTAATTATGATCACTAAAATGAGTACAGATATCTGTGTACATAGATAGGGGATAGATAGATTGATAGATTGATGATAGATAGATAGATAGATAGATAGATAGATAGATAGATAGATAGATAGGTTTTTTATGTGATAGAGAAAATATTGTGCTACTCCTTAATAGCTTATCACTACTATCAAATACCCTTAGTATGTTTGTTCAGAGTGTAGCATCTTCCAAACAAATGGTTGATGAAATGCAGTATTTAGGTTCAGGGAAATCCACTTTAAAAACAGAGGCATTTTTCATAGAGAGTCAAACCATAAAGATGTTTAGCAGTTAATATCTAATTATTATGCAGTAATAACTACTAATATGATAATTAGGTTCTAATTATCTTTGCCTCTTGGGACAAAGTGTGAAAATCTGCATAGGGGTAAAAAACATGCATATGCCTCTAATGTAAAGCATTTGCTTCTAAAGTTTCATGGCTACATAGAATGAAAGTGTACACTAGAGATGACTTACAACAGGAATATTTTAAATAATTCTGAAGTGGCACAATTCTGAACACAATATTGTTCCATAGTTTAGAAGATTCTAAAAGAGAGTTAAAGACCAAGTATCACACCAAGGCAATATAACAATAGGAAATAAAGGAGAAATAATAGGCATTGAATAATATAGCAGTGCTGAGAAATATAGGTGGTCCTTGAGTTGCAACCATTTGTTCAGTGATCTTTTGAAGTTACAGTGGTGCTGAATGAATGGTACTTATGCATGGTCCCCCAAAATGGTTGCAATGACCTCTGTTGGTCACATATTCAATATTTGGGGACTTTGCAGCCTACTCACACTTACAATTGTCAGGGACATTTCAAATCTGCCACTTGCCTATTTCCCCCCCCATCTTTGTCCTTCTGACTGCCCTGCACGGTGGCACTGTGGGGTCCTTAGTCTCTCCGAGGTTGGTTGTTTTCTTGCAGATATTTCTTTAGCCAACTAGATAACATCATCAGTGTTAGAAGGAAGCGCGGCATTTGCTTTCTTTTCATATGCTAGTGGCTTGCTAGTGTTGATGGGAGTGTTCTTGGTGGTTCTTTGATTGGGTGGTTGTTTACTGTTAGCTTCTTTGTCTGAATTGCTAGTTCCTTAATTGGGATATTGTATACTGCTTGCTTAATCTTGGTGTTAATCTCTGCTTATCGGGTCTTGATTAATGTCAAGGATGTATTTGGTCTGTCTGTTTCCTTTTTGGTTTTTTTTTATTGTCTCTCTATGTATCTCCTGATGGCTGATTTATCTTGCCTCATCAAGTTGTCCATATAAAAAGTACAAGCCAAGAATACCAATACTAGCTTCACTGTAAGCTTATAATAACAGAATCCTGCAAGTCTGAAATCCCACCCCCCCCTTTTACTTTCCCCAAAACTAGGAAAAATCCCTTCTGTGGGCTGAGATACTTTTGCATGTTGATTGTCCAGTCTGTGGCTCCCTTTCTACCACTTAAAGACATTTCCACATTATATACCATTACTAACTGACTAACTTTTTGATTATTTGAAATGGCGCTATTTAGTCTTTCTGTCAGTCTTCTTTCCCTTTGGCTATTTTTTTTTAGAACATGGAAATACTTTAAAGAATAGACCTATGAACCTCTACCTGCTAAAAGCTTACTAGTAGGCCCTAATGGCAGTCTTGAAGTACAAAGATGTAAATCATGAATCTGCTCTGGTTTCATATAGTTTGTAGAATTTTGTACAAAGAAAAAAGAATTCCATTCCTCCGACACTGAAAAACTTCACTTAGAGGAAGTGAGAAAATACTCATATATGGTGATACTTTCCTTGGCATATAATTTATAACAAGATTTAAGAATACTGATTTAGAAATAAGTTCTTTTAAAGTCAAGGTTAAAGTTCTTAGGGTTCAACTCTGATGATCTTTTAAACATGAAGCAAGACATAAGGTCATTCCAAATTGGCAAAAATCCTGTCATTTATTCTTTAGGCCTTAACCCTGGAGAAATGTTACATTAGGATTGACAGAGGCTAAGTTTGCTCATTGTGTGAAGTCAAGCTTATTTTAACCATGGTTCTTACGTATGTCATAGCTGAACTATCATACTAAACTATGCTTTTGAAACTGAGGTTGTGCATGACATGTAGCTCAAATCAAGCAATCAGCTTTATCATTATTATATTAATTCACCCCTCGTATGAAGCAGGAAAAATCAACTTATTTTGAAATAGGAACATACTAACATAGTTAAATTAGTCTGAAATGCATTTGATATTCAGCTTCAAAAATCAGTATATTTCTTTATTAAAAATATCCTTCCATTTGCTGAATTATTAGGCTAGTTTACAAAAGTTGTATAAATTTATAATTTTTAACCAGCTGTTAAAAACATGAAGAAAGACCATGACTAATGCTATGCAAACACCACTGGTGAAAATTGATAGAAAAGAAAAAAAGAATAATCATTTGAGTAAGCAAGGTTTGGCAAAGCTAACAAAATAAGAGAACTACGGGTTTAGAAGGGGTCATTTTAAGCAACTGAATCTGATTCCTTTGTGAAGGAATAGTTAACTGCTTTTCTATTAAGGTGGGTAGGCAGTAACAACAGTGGAAAGAAAAGGGATGGGAAGAAAATAAAAATAGGAATGCTTCCACTTCCAGCCAATCATCATTCTTCCCTTATTTCTCTCTTTCCTGCATATTTGTCCAAATAAGCAGAAGATAAGCTTTTGGCTAGAACACTGAACACCAGTTCACCTCTACCAACCCCAACTACTAGGCTTTTTATTCATGTTCATGTTCATGCTCATATTCATGTTCTTGTTCCTTCAATCCTTCATTCATTATTTTGTAGCAAAATGCAAACTGCAAAACAAATCTAAACAAATAGGAAATAAAAAGCAAATAGTACAGGTGGTTTATGAAAAGGCCGTTTGAAGAAGCTCTACTTTGAATCCTAATCACTAAATGAATGAATAAGTAGCTACCAGGGAAGGAAGCAATCTCCCTTTTCATTGGACAGCCCATTCTAGAGTAATGGGTTCAAATTACTTTCCTTAGTCTCACATTAACTAGAAGTAGGTGTTCCCCTGTTAAGTCTTCTAGCATTGAGGGATGCTGCATGCATACTGGTTGTGTCCATTTAAATCCCCATATCTCAAACCTTCCTACCCCAAGCACAAAAGTCTGAAAGGAATTATAAGCCCTATTTTGGAAATCTGGAAACTCAATCAACAAACACATTTACTCACAGGTTTGGTGAAAAGTAGTTTATTGTAGATTGTTTTCTTCCAGTGGGCAAACAATGGCAATCCCGAGCAAAGCCAGTGCTGAGAATGAACGCCTCTCAGCACCTTTTATGCTCCATCCCCTTCCCATTGCCAAACTAGCATCCACCTAACTAATTAACCCCAAACGCCACCACCCTGCAATCCTAATCACAACTATATCCAAAGCCCAGAACACACCTAACCCCGAAGTGCTGACTCATAAGCCAAAGAAAAAGAAACCACTATAAGATGAGTTCCCCCCCCTCCATCACTGGAACACAATGCAATCCTTATGCCCTGCAATTCAAGATAGTTTGGCAGGAACTTGCAATGGATCCACATCGTTACGTGCTGTAACTGGTACAGCCAACAGTCCCGTGTTATTTCAGTGAAGGGAACAGCTAGTCGGGTAGGAGGTGCAGATTTGGAGACTCATCTCCCACTCCCTATTAGGTGGCTGGTAATGTGTTGGACATGATCAGTGAAGCCTGACAGGTGGCGCCCTCTACCATGGCTCTGTCTGTAATAAAGGGAATACAGTTAGGATGATGTAATGCCCCTTGTTCATACCTCCCGCCTGCCTTCTTAGGATATTTTTTATGGAATTGTTGATGTAGATGAGTAGCAGACACATCTTTATATGTTACCCAAGAAGCATCTGCTAATGTATCCATTAGCAGCCCTCCCACCTCATTAAATATTGTAGGATTCCTCGCCGATGTCAGGAATCAAGTATTTCCTTAATCTCATAATGATCATCATGGATTGGGCCAGGGGTCCTTACTCTGGGCTCTTGTCTAGTCATATCAGCTTGTTTAAGAAGACAGACATGAAATACAGGCTGAATCCTTTTAAAACGTGAAGGTAGTCGAAGCCCAACTGTGACCAGATTTATAACTCATTTCACTAAGAACGGTCCAATATATTTTGGACCTGATTTTTTATTAGCAACACCAACTGTATGTATTTCGTTGAGAGATATACCCAGTCACATACATTATATTGGATTGGTGCGGATCATTTTTTATCCACCTGACATTTGTACTCTGCTTGTGCTTGTTTTAAGGCAACTTTTCCTTTTTGCCATTGTTTCCGTATCTTATCCACAGGTTGAAACAGTATTTGGTTCCTGAGTTGCATGAGGTCATTCCAGCATTGGTACAAACTCTGTATCACTAACTATCTGAAATGGAGAAAATCCCCTACTACTATGGATTGTATTATTGTATGCTATTTCAGCATATGGAAGTAGGTCCACCCAGTTACTCTGTTGGTAATTTACGTAACACCGTAGATATTGCTCTATAGCGACATTAGCTCATTCCGCAGCTGCACTGGTACACAGGTGGTAAGCTGTACTTAATCCTTGGGTCGACCCGATCATGTGTATAAATTCTGTCCAGAATTTTGCTGTGAACTGTACTCCATGGTCAGATATGATTTTGCGTGGTACACCATGTTATCTATGCTTTACGAATAAATCTGCTAATTTCCTAGCAGAAGGCAATCCTTTACAAGGGATGAAATGTGCCTGCTTGGAAAATAAATCAATGACAGTTCATATAACATTGTAGCCATGGGTTTCTGGTAGTTCCACTATGAAGTCCATACCAATGTCTTGCCAAGGTTTTATGGATTCAGACATGGTTTGCAATAATCCCGATGGTTCCCCTATTTTTATTTTATTAACCATACAGATAGGACATGATTTCACATAGCGTTCTACATCTGTCCACATACCCGGCCACCAAAATTGTCATTTCACTAAGTGCAATGTTTTAAAAAACCCATAATGTCCTGCTATTTTGTCATCATGACAACGTTTCAGTACTGTCGATTGTAGACTATTCAGAACATACATTTTATCCTTTCGCCACGCAATTTCATTTCTCATTTCAACTTGACTTTTATTATCGATCAACCATTGATCTTCTGCTAATATAGTAGGCCAATCACTGATGAGTATAGTAGTTTTTAATGACTCGGCATGGTTACTGCATGGTATAAGTGGTTGTATTATATTATCCCTTTGGTTATTGTATTGAGGAAGCCGCGATAAGGCCTCCACCATGAAATTTTTTCTTGATGGAACATATTTTAATGTAAAATAAAAACCATTTAAAATACAACACCCATCTAACCTGCTTTGGGGATAATCGGTGTGGGCTTTGCAATGCTTCCAAATTCTTATGATCGGTCCACATCTCAAAAGGATGTGGACCTCCCTCCAATAAATGTCTCCAGGTGAGCAAGGCCCAAATGCCTCCTTCTCCCAAATTGCCCAGTTGCATTCAGTTGAACTAAATTTTCTGGATGTATAAGCACACAGCTGCAACAGTGCTTTTATGTTTGTCTGCAATAGGACAGCTCCCACTGCCACATAGCTTGCATCTGCCTGGATAACAAATGGCAGATTTGGATCAGGGTGTTTCAACACCAGCTCTTGAGCAAACAAATTTTAAATTTTCAAAAGGCTCCCGACATTTTGTAGTCCATGGTAATCCAATTCTTGTTTTTGATTTTTCAATATCAATAGATTAAGTACGCAATAGTTCAGTTAAGGGTAAAGCTATGTTAGTAAAGTGTGGTATAAATTGATGATAGAAATTTGCAAACCCCCAAAAACTTTGTAATTGTTTCTTTGTGTTCAGGGCTTTCCACTCCAACACAGCTTTAGCTTTTGTGGGGTCCATTTCAATACCCTGTGTAGATATGCGATATCCTAAATAGTCCAACTGCCGGGTGTGAAACTTGCATTTCGACAATTTTACATATAACTGGGCATCCAGCAATTTTAGAAGCACCTGTCGCACTAATTGAATATGCTCATATTCATTATCCGAACAAATTAAAATATCATCCAGATAAACCAAAATGCCTCTATATAAATCTTCATGAAACACTTCATTTATCAGTTGCGTAAAGACCGCTGGAGTCCCCTGTAAGCCAAACAGCATCACATTGAAATAATAACTACCAAGAGGGCAATTAAACATTGTTTTCCATTCATCTCTTGTCCGTATTCTCACTCTATAGTACGCTTCTCTTAGATCGAGTTTTGTAAATATTTGTCCTTTTGCCAAGGTAGATAGCAAGTCTTTAATCAGTGGTAATGGGTACAATGGTTCCAGACAGATCACGTTTAGGCCTCTATAGTTGACACATAAATGAAGTCCTCCATCCTTCTCATGAAACAACACTGGCGCTGCCATATGAGACCTTCCAGGGGTGATAAACCCCCTCTTTAGATTTTTATCGATGTACTGTCTCATTTCATCTAACTCACGCGGAGTCATTGAATACATCCGTGGTTTAGGCAAAGGAGCCCCTGGAATTCATTCTATGGCACAGTCCATAGTGCAATGTGGTGGTAAGCAATCAGTGCCCTCTTCATTGATTACATCAGACAAATCTGCATATTTACTGGGATTTTGATATTGGGGTATTCCTTGAGTTTTTTCATTTAACAATTTACTAGCTATCAGATGTTTTTCATTATGATCTGGTGGATAAGGACCAGCCACTAATCATATCTTTCAATAGCCGTTCTCCCAATGTATGGTCAGTTCCCATTTATCCAGCCATGCCAATTCCAAAATTAATGCTTCACTCATATGAGAAACCACCACAAAAGAAATCCATTCCCAGTGCTCTCCCATAACCATTTTGATATATTCTGCCCTGTGAGTTGCTGGAGTTCTACCTAGTATAGACCCATCCACCTGTTCAAACTTAATTGGAACATCCAATTTAATAACCCGTAACTGCAATTTCTCCACCACCGCATTAGTAATTAGACACCTTGTACATTCTGAATCAATTAATGCCCCCACTTGAACAGTGTAATTAGTACGTTTATTCCACAGAGACACAGGTATAATAAAAGGACTAATAGGGCTACTTACCATAGGATTGTCAGGCAAAATACTCTCCATTTCACTTTCACACTAAGTATTGGATGGAATAGTAAATGGTTCTTCTGTATTCTGGCTTCCGGGTGGGTTACTCACTATTCCTCTCACCCTCTCATGCTCTTTCCATTCTTGTCTCCCTGGTTTATCTCGACACAAAGATGAAGGCAGTTGGGGGGCCTTCGTCATGGTTAATGGTGATACAGGACATTCCATGGCCCTGTGACTGGGCCTATCACAACGAAAACACCAAAATGTCCCTCTGTCTCTGCCCCTTTGAATTGGAGTTTCCCTGTATAATTGTGTTGTAATAGTACCTAAAGGCCTTATTGGTGGTGTAATCCCTTCCAGTCTCGGGTGCAATTGATGTAAACCATTGTCCAATTCGATTGCCACTTGATACCACTGTGTTAACATGGTAAACGAACCACGATAAAGACAAGCCTGGTTTAAATTGCTATCCAGGCCTTCTCTAAACAGATGGATTAACAAATTCTCCAGTATAAATGGTAGTTTACTAACCACCCTCCTAAACTCCCCTACATATTCCTGAGCTGACCGACCCTTTTGCTTGGTTGCTAACAAATCCTCCTCTGCTTGTTTGTCAGCTGTATTTTCTTCAAAACAAAACCTCAAAGCAGCCAAGAATTGACCTACATCTGCTAATTCTTCTGCCCTATGACGGTACAAATCAGCTGCCCAATCATGGACCTCTCCAACCAAGACACCTGTAATCACTACTATCATAGACCAATGTGACATATAGTAGTGGGCATACAACTCAAAATGATTTAATACTTGTCCTAGAAAGATAGCCACTTTACTTGGAGTTCCATCAAAGCTTGCTGTTAAGGGAGGAACCCATCGCCCCTGTGGCTGGGCATCCCAACGGGCTCCATAGTCCATCTCTTGTCGTTCTAATCCACTATTCCTCATTGACTGCCTTTGTTCTTCGCCAAGTTGTGTAGCAGTCTCCTTCCAACCTCCAATTCCCGGAGCCCCAATGGACTGGATGTAAATAACACTTCTTTTTTCTTATATTTCCCCAATCTCTTATCCAGTATACTCTTTGTATTAGGTCCATGCAAAGTAAGTTAACTGCATTTTTAGTATGTCTAATGTCTCACTGCCAGGGGCCATTAGCTGGCTTTTTCCCAAGCCTGGCCAACACCTGACCTTCCAATCCTCAAGACGGTCTGGCAGATAAAAATCTTTTCCTGAATCCTGCTTCTCAGTGAAGCTAGGCTCACCGACATTTCCTTTTTTTTGTTCTTTAAATATCTTAGGTCTGGCCACTGGTTGCAATACCAGTGGCTCAACATCTTGTTTTTTTTCTCCACCAGAAGGCAGCACCTGTCCATTTTCCACCTCCTCCTCAACGTCTTCTGTGTCCTCCTCCTCAATCCATTTCTGTTCCGTCCCTTCAGCCATTCTCCTCAACTAATTGTTTTCAATACGTTTCATGCAGTTAGTCTAGATACTGTAACAGTGAGAGCTGGCTTTCTGCAAGCCCTATTTTGGAAATCCAGAAACTCAGTCAACAAACACATTTACTCACAGGTTTGGTGAAAAATAGTTTATTGCAGATTGTTTTCTTCCAGTAGGCAAACAACGGCAATCCCGAGCAAAGCCAGCACTGAGAGTGAATGCCTCTCAGCACCTTTTATGCCCCATCCCCTTCCCATTCTCAAACTAGCATCTGCCTAACTAATTAACCCCACATGCTGCCTCCCTGCAATCCTAATCGCAACTATATCCAATGCCCAGAACACACCTAACCCCGAAGTGCTGACTCATAAGCCAAAGAAAAGGAAACTACAATAAAATGAGTGCCCCCCCCCATCGCTGGTACGCAATAGAATCCTTACGCCCTGCAATTAAAAATAATTCAGCAGGAACTTGCAATGGATCCACATTGTTACGCGCTGTAACTGGAACAGCCAACAGTCCTGTGTTGTTTCAACGAGGGGAACAACTAGTCAGGTAGGAGGCGCAGATTTGGAAACTCATCTCCCATTCCCTATTAGGTGGCTGGCAATGTGTTAGCACGATCAGTGAAGCCCAACAGGAATGACCTCTAAGGTCCCTTTCAGCTGTATGATTTTATGATTCTATTTATATCTGTTGAGTGTGAATGGAATTCTCTTTGCAATCCCAGATTTCAGTGCAAATACTAGTTCCATTCAATTAAAAAAAAAACTGATGTAAATGCTTCTCCCAGTCCTTGATTCCTAACATGCATTTTGAACATGCAAAAAGAGCTTAAGATGCCTAGCTTCAGGTACAAGAAACCAGGAACAGGAGTAGAGTTCCAAGCATGTTTATTTCATGCTACCTATACATATGAATCTGATCTACTAGCCATTAAGCCAAATTGGAATTAGATAAGGGTCAATGAAATTGATCTGTGGAGGCTGGGCTTAAGTCTCTCTTGGGAATGTGATGACTTCAAACTGATGACGTGTTTGACCCTGCCTTTGGGCTCCATGTATCCATGTTTAGAACCCTTTCCCCCCTACATGTTTGGAACCTTTACTCTTTACTCTGGAATTCATGGTACTTAAACATTTCAATATAGTAAAAATTGTGGTTAAATTAATCTTTTTAAAAAATTGTATTGCTGAAGATTAACCCTCTGTGGAGAACTGTAATACCTTTCTGTCAACAATTTATTTTTGAGAAAAATGGATGCTAGAGGTGTACTCTAGCAGGATCACTCTTAGGCATATGTTTATTTTAGCAGATCCATATAATACAGATAGTACTCGACTTACAATAGTTCATTTAGTGACTATTCAAAACAACATTGAAATAAAAGTGACCAATGACCCTTTTTCACACTTATAACCATTGCAGTATCTCCATGAGCAAAATTCGGATACCTGGCTACAGGGATGGGATCTGACTGGTATAACTACCGATTCTGTCTATTAGCATCGCACGCGCATGCGCGAGTCACATGAGTGCAATTTACAACCTGCTGAGCTGCCCGGACAGCATGCAAGTGCGCAGCAGTTGGAAAATCCCTTTTTCCCTTCTTTTTCAACCGTAGCTGTGTCATGCAAAGCAGCTGAAAAAGTTGAAAAAGCAGGAAATAAAGGTCAGGTAAGAGCACAGGCGGGCGGGTGGCCACAACAGCAGCAAACATAGAACTGGTTTTATGCCTGCTGCTCTTCAGAGCAACTAGTTCTACAGAGGTGGACAGAATTGGTAGAATCCCACCCCTGCTTGACTACTGACTCATGTTTATGACACTTGCAGTATCCTGGATTCACATGATCCCCTTTTGCGACCTTCTGACAGACAAAGTCAATGGGGAAGCCTGATTCACGGAATGGCCATGTTACTAACGTAACGACTGCAGTGATTCACTTTACAACTTTGGCAAGAAAGGGGCAAAACTCTTGTAATAACTGTCTCACTTAGCAACAGAAATTTGGGACTCATTTGTGTAGGTTGCAAGTCAAGGACTACCTGTATGTATATATATGTGTACTGTATATATATTAAATAATATCAATTGACTAAATAGCTGCAAAAGGGATGAATAATTAGTTGTATTGCATTCTGGTCTATAAGAGGTTTCTTGCTAAAACGGTAGTATCTAAATTCCCCTAATTGTATCGAGCGAAAGTTATTTGTCTGCCACAGGTTCAGTGGTTCACTTTTATGCAGACCTTGCTGCATCAGATTTTTGCTGCCTGTGTCCTGTTTGCCTTTTAAGTGTGGGTTAATATTATTCCCATTTGCATGAATGTAAATACCACTTTGTGTCTGCATAACAAAAAGCCTGATTAGCATAAAAGAATCCTCTAGTGGGTCGGGAATGGGGTACTTAGAGAAATAGTCTATCAATGAAAACATAGCCAGCTAACCCTTTGCAAGCCTATCAAACACCATTATGGCTTGGGAAAAAGAAAGGGAGGGGGAACCTGCCAAGTTAAGTGGTTCAAGAGAGTCTGCTTTGAAATGCACTTTTTACTACTGATGGGCAAAATGCTGTGCTGACAGCGAGGTCTGATGCTTAAGGACTCCCCAACCGATCATAATGGGTTCATAATGGACGAGTAAACAAAACCCTGTTTTCTGTGTAAGCATTAATGGCTCTGGCTAACCAACATCTGCAGCAAGAACTTTGAAGTGCCATAGGCAGGTAGCTGCAATTTTTTTATTATTTTTATTTTTGATAAAAATGTCTGTTTGTTGTCCTCATTATTTTGCTCACACTTTTAAAACCTGAACAGAAGTAAACTTCTGGTTTACCAGAATCTGCTTTTAAGATTATCCACATTAAATAAACTGACAATTCTCTCCCAGCATATGTGCCCTGCCTGCAGTCAAGTGCTTACCTCAAAGGCAAGTTCTGTCATACTGAGTCCCGCCCCAAATCATTGCTCGCTCTCACAGTGGATTAACAGCACAGTTGTTCAGATTTTAAATATTATTTGGAAAAAGGATTTCAGCAGAGTATGTGCATAATATTTCTGTTAAAGTCAGTTCCCATAACATAGTCAACATTGGACTCTCCTTAAAGGCCATGTGGAAATTACAGCTGATCCAACAGCATTAAGTGCTGTTTTGGATAACCCACAGTTCACCCATGTTATATTGATGTCATATGAATTGCACTGGCTTCTAGTATTGTTTCCAGGTGCAGGTCAAGGTGCATGTTATCACTCTTTAAGCTTCAAATAGCACTGGGCCAGGGTTGTTTTGGGCTACCTCTCCATGAGTGTATCTGCTTGTGACATTACATCTGATAAGGAGGGGAGTCAAACTCGTGACAACACATCATCATGTGATGTATCACAACTCCCCGCCTCCACTAAACCATTGGTGGGTGTGGCCAGCACATGAGGCATCTGGGCTGCGGGCCGCAAGTTTGACACCCTTGTGATAAGATGAGCATAGGTCCTTTTCAATGTTGTCATTTAGTGGTACCTAGACAGTATGCCCCTGCACTTTCAAATACCCTATCTCTGAAATCTGGCAAGTTCCTATCCTTCTGAAAAGCCTTGAAAACCTGCCTTTTCCCACAAGAACTGGGATAGTATAAAGCTAGAGTCCAGTACAGTTCTGTGGGAATGTTTTGTGGTTGTTGACGCTGTGAGTTTCTGTGTTCTTTTAAAACATACTTTTCCAGGGGTGGGATTCAAAATTTTTAACAACTGGCTCTGTGTGTGTGGCTTAGGTGGTGGGCGTGGCTTGGTGGTCATGTGACTGTCTGGGTGTGGCCAACTCCATATCACTCACATCGAGGAACGTATCTCCTCACCTGGCCTCTCATGACTGTGGGGATGCTGCAACAGCCATAGGTGTGAAAAATGGTCATAAGTCACTTTTTTCAGTGCCATTGTAATTTTAAATTGTCAGTCCACACAAGCAAAGTACCAGCAAAGGGGGTGGGGGGGACTCCAGAGAAGTTCCTGAGACAGGAAATCTAGTCCTGCCAAGAACATAATAAGGGTTAATGGAGAGGCAGTTTCTGTAAGCAACATCAGAATGGTTTCTTCTTGCCTTCCTTACAGGATTAGGCCAGTAATTTCTTCTAACAACGAATTCTCCAAATTGCTTAGGATGTTAACAACCGGTTCTAGTGAATAGGTATGAACTGGTAGAATCCCACCTCTGTACTTTTCTGATTTTATTGCTTTTAACTGTGAGCCCCCCAAAGTTACATTGCATCAGATGGCTGGATATATAAATGTTTATAAAATAAAACATGCACAATGATTTTTAGAATTTCGTTTTTAAAATTCCATAATGAACCAAGTCATTAAAGAATCACATTTTGACTATGATTTGTAGAGTACCCATTTTTTTTCCTGCTCATGTGACAATGTAAAAAAGAAGAATACTTTAATGAGGAGCCAGGAGTGTCTGAAGCATTTCTTCCAAACAATTTCTTAAGCATGCACAGCTTTAATAATTCTATATGGTATTGCCATAAAATCTAATTTCCAGTTGAGATTATGATCAATACTATTAACCTCTTTTCACTTTTGGTGTTTTATAAAAAAATTATAAACTGGTCAGAAAAATTATCTCAGATTTTCCAGTTGAGAAAAATTTCTACTAATCTTTGTTTCTTATAGAAATAGATCTAATCAAATTCTCAAATATAATTTTCATCTAATGTTGAATTCCATGTAAAACATTTAGATCAATCAATTTGTGTATTCCCTTGATACATGGACCAAGTCCTAGAATTCTCAAGAATTCTCCCGTATGAACATTGTTGAGAATTCTGGGAATAGAGGTTCATAATATTTGGAATGGGATCAGTCTGGGAAAATGGGTTTATACAGATAGTTTTATTTTTTAATTTTGAGGTTAGGAGGTTTGATTATTTTGGGTATTGTTGGGGATACTGCTGCTGCTGTCACAGGTAGTCTTTGCTTAACATCTGCTCGTTCAGTGACTATTCATATTTATAGTGGTGCTGAATAAATGGTACTTCTGGCTAGATCTCATAGTTATGGCAATCATAGCCTCCTGCAGTTATGTAATTGTGTTCTATGTGCTTGGTTATTGTCTCACCAGTAGAACATTTCAGTGTTACATGATAACCATTTGTGATCTTCACTGATGGCTTCCAACAAGCAAGGTCAAATCAGCAGAAGACTGCAATTGCAACCAGGTGATGTTACGTTTGACTACAGTGCATGATTCACTTGGCAACCAAATATGCCAGAATTGCAGCTAAGTGTAATGGTTATACGGTATTGCACTTTTGGATTGTATTGTTTAATGAGGGAAATTCCCAATCCCAATTACAAAAGTTAACCGAGGTCTTCCTATGTTATTATTATTATTGGTTAATCTTTAGTGAGATTCACAGCCTTTGGGGCTGGTTGGTAGCTCAACAGCTCGAGTCCTAACCAAGGACCTCGGAATGTTCAGGTAGCGTCAGAGGATATAAGCTGTTCCAAGTAGGGTGTTTTTTTGTAGAATCAGGGTATTCAAATCTGATAAATTCAGGATTTCCAAATAGCGAGGCAGCCCTTTAGATATTACTCCAAGGACTCCAATTACAATTGGGATAACACATGATTTCTTTTTATCACTGAAATAAAACATGCCTCCCCAGTATAAAACTGAATGGGCACTATGAGTTAAAACGAAACTTGTTTATAAGTATTTTGTTAATTAAAGCAAATAAAGATCAAATGTTAATGATCAATTTCAGGTGTACTGATGTTTCTCTTCCTGGTACTAGCCATAAATAGTGGCAGTGAGATATCTCTAGAGGTATAAAATCTGTCTGGTTTCCTCAATATAGTCTTCAGACCTTGATTATTAAAGATTTAATCTTCAATTCAACACAGTCTGGGACTGGTAAAAACTTAACAGTTCAAGTCCAAACCAAGGACCTAAGAGCTGTTAAGATATTATTATTTGCAAAATGTAAGGGTATATAGGTATTATAGGTATTAGTTTACTGAAATAATGACTGCTTGAGTAACCTCTCTCTTTGACTGTTTAACCTAATGGGCATCCATAAGGGACAGCGGGGAGCAAATGATGAAGCACCCATCACTACATCACAACAAAAACTTCTCATTTGTATTTGTGTTCTCACATTATGGCAATTATGTAAGGGATGGACTTGAATTATGTAATGGCATGTGGGAATGACCTTTAGTGAGATGCTGTTTAGGGAACAATCAGAAGAGTGGGAGCACAGCTGCATAAGGGGCAGAGTCAGTAAGTCAAAATGGAACCTTTCTAACTTATCAGACTGTAAAGAGAGATGGTGGAAGATTTGTATTTTCAGACTTGCAAGATTCTACCAAGGTCTTACAATTCTACTACTACTTTACAATAAAGTTGAATTGGTCATGTTTCACTCCTGGTCCACTTGAGAAAGCTAACAAATTGTATCTGTTGGGATATCTGTCATGTTGATAAAATCTTTATTTGATGTGGACATGCACGTTTATACTTATTTCTGAAATACCAACTTTTCTCACTACATGGTTGACAAATATAAAAACAAAGTAAAGCATATAGATATATAAAATCATAATGCAATATTTGATGATTC